GTTTTTAGCTATAATCTGGCATAATCCATATTTTCTCTTTTCTGAGATTAATGTATTTGTATGCATGGTCCTTGTTGAAATAAATACACAATATATACAGCAAAGATTTAACTTTTCTTTTCAATAACTCATCAGCAGAGAGGTTATTTTGACTGGATGGTGGTTGAACTTAAAAGACAGAAATAAAAACCCTTATTTTATCAATTTAATCTCATATATCTGTTCTGAATTTCTCTTATTACATGTGTTAAAATAATTCATTGTTTTTATACCAACATCCCTCTATTTTTTCTTCCACTAAAAAAATATGTACATGTATGACTGCCTTCACATGATGTGCAGTTTGGACGTAGTGTGCTCACCTGTGTGTCTCGGTGGTACATCTCGTAGGCCTGGATGGTCTTGCGGCTGGCCTGGCTGCCGTGGTACACCACAGCGTTAAGCTCCGTCCAGGTGCGGAACTCTCTCTCCCAGTTGGGGATGGTGGAGAGCGGGGCGATGACCAAGAACGGCCCCTGGATGCCCATCTTGAAAATCTCATAGAGGAATGTAATAGACTGGATGGTCTTTCCTAGACCCATCTCGTCAGCCAAGATACAGTTACGTCTGTGGAGGAGGGAGGAAGTACTCAGAATGAATAATAGCATAAAAACAAAGCTCTATTCAGTGTCACTCAACAAGTTAACATTACAAGTCTGACATCTCAGAGACCAGTCCCGCTTTGGCCCTGATGTAAACCTCCGGAACTTTGACATGACTCCGCAGTATGCTTCCATGACCTCAACCATCTTTCCCTTTAGATCATTATTGCTGCTGCTGCTGCTGCTGCTGCTGCTGCTGCTTTTCCACAGGGGTGAGGCGGTCTGTTTTCCACACCAGTGATCTAATGCAAAAAATGTGCAACAAGCTGGAAAATGATCTGTCATACTCAGAGACTTGATTTGAGTCCTTCTTATTCCAAAAACATCCATGAACAGTATTCACCCTCAAATGGTAAGGGGCAGTGGTGTAAAGTAGCCAAGTAGATTCACTCAAGTACTAAAGTAAAATCTTGAGATACTTGTACTTTACATGAGTATTTGAATGTTATTCTAATTAGGGTTGCAAAATTCCGGGAATTTTCAAAGATGGAAACTTTCCATGGGAATAAACGGGAATAAACTGGGAATTTTCCAAATTGAAGGTTGGCTCTTCATAGGGAACTTAAATATAGTTGGGGAAAGTAAATGTTATCATAATCTTGACTAAAACAAACAGATGCCATTCAAGTACACTTGAATATCCATGCCATAGCAGATGATAGCACACTGCTTACTGCAGGGATCACCAACTACATTTGTCCAAGGGCCAAAATGTATCCAATAGACACTATCGCGGGCCAGCGATTTTTATATAGTCCACAATGCTAGTGGAGCAGGTTCAGGTACTGCGGATCGCATAAAGCTCAGCAGACCCTTCACGCTAACGAAGGATCACTTCTAGGCAGGGTTGGGAGGGTTACTTTGTAAATGTAATCAGTTACTGAATACTGAATACATGCTCTGAAAGTAATCAGAATACATTACAGTTACGTGTCTTAAAAATTTAACTTTTTCAGATGACTTTTAGAATACTTTATTTTTCCATAACAGATGGGTATGTTTTGGTTAACAGGAGACACTTATTTTACTGTTTTAATGGCTTATCAAGAACTCAAACACACCATCTTGGTGTCATTCTGGACAGCTCCCTCTCATCTGCACCACACATAAAAAACATCACCCGGAATGCATTCTTTGTACTGTCTTAAAACCTTTCCTTGGAGTATGCTATGAATTGTAAGGTGTCCTTGGGTTCTTTGAAAGGCGCCCCTAAATAGAATGAATTATCATTATTATTTATTATCTGAAACGATGTAATAACTTTTAAAACTGTTTCCAGTCACTTGCCCCATGCATTCAGCAGCAGCAGGCCATTCACTTT